AATGTATGTACAATTTTGCTCATTTAATTAAAGCTTGCTTCCAATTGCTTGCATTATCAACTGTTTACAATCTAAGTCGGCGTATATTGTGTTTGTGGGTACGTATGCAATACCCAGGAAAGGTCTATATACTACAACTTTCTATTACATTACACGAATAGGCTTCATTTTCCGATTCGGTTTTAACGCGTCCGTCCGTCTGTCTACGTTACCTGTGTTTAAATCCAAACTCAAGTTTGACCCGGATTCGGCAGTAATAGATTTTTATTCGGAAGATCTTAAAGTGAGTTTAAAAAGCAAAAAATTTGCCCGACAAGAAGTAGTCTCACTGCCGTTTGTAGATGAGAAAAGACTTTTTAAACCTTTGAAACCCTCTTACACCGTATTAACAAAAGGCAACAAACAACGCGGTTTGTAAGCGGCAAGAGGAAATGCTAAATTAAAATTTTTAATTTAAATTTAATTTGCGCGATATAACTGATAACCATGTTGTAACTGCGTGTTTTCGAGACAATACTTATGGGGAAAACCTTATTTTCTCCGCCAATACATTGTCAAAAGCTATTGATCCACCCAACTGATCCGGAATCGAGAGATGCTAATTACCGCCATAAGATTGGCTTCGATCGCAATTTGCCACAGATTTATGTAAGTGGGCGTAGATTGCTCAACAACTGTCTAGGCGGTAAATATGGAAATGAGTGGGCAGAGGAAAGCCAAAATTATTGAACATAAGTATTAGTTTAGTTATGGCGTTGCTGTGCCGAAACTCCGCAACGATTGATTAAATGACAATGATGGGGGTATGGTTTAGTTAAAGCTGTAGAACATTTTTTTCGCTGGCATAACAAATTTAGAAAAGCAAACAATTACATAAACCACTAAGTAAACACATATTAATTGATGACTGCAATAAGAATATTAACAAGTGATTGGTTAAATGGGAGGGGGTGCGCTTTTAGATAATATTTTTAAACTTATCGATTTGTATTTTTATGATAAATAAAATCAGGCGTTGATATAACTCTTTGAAGTGGATATTACAGATTTCATTGCAAATGTGTATGTATGATTTAACCCACGTAACTGAGAAACTTTGAAATTTGTTTAAATCTTTATTATAGTTTACAAGTAAAAACGTACACCACCACACTCCACCACTAATAGCTGTAAGTTGGAGAACCAGCGCATTGTGAAATGAAATTCAGTAAAACCCTTTTTCTCAGCTAACTGGTAGTTATAAAGGATTTTTCTTTCTTTTTTTCTTGTTTTCTTCTTTCTTTACACAATTATTTAGTTTTGTAGTTAACAAGTAGTATAAGTAAATGAGAGTGTGTGAAGGTCAATATATGTGGGCAGACATATATGTGAGTACACGTATGATTATATGTTTATAAACAGAAATGTTTATTAGCTGTTAGACAAAGTCACTTTTTAAAAAGCATGCATTAATGTTTGTTAACAGAAAACATGAAATTATTAAATGAACTTTTTATCACTTCTTGATTTGATTATAGTACAACAATTAATTTCAAAAAGATTTGATAAAGCACATTAAGATATTAAGATATTATGCGTCATAAGGTTTATTAGTAATTAATATTTAAAAATCAATAAAACCCATTGTACATTTATTATGACAAGAAAGTAGGACAAATTGCTAACGGTATGTTCACGTATTTACGTTAAATGTTACAAGAATAATTAAATAAATACTTGTCTATATAGAGGATAAAAAATTTTTCTAAACAACTAAACAAAACTTTTTTTCTTACGTTTCTATAACTTAATGCATAGATAAGAGAAATGAGAGAATATATGTTAAGTCTCAGAGCTGTATAAATTGGTAATATTTCAAAAACTACATTTTAGTGTAATCAGCAGCTACACTGAACATACCAAATAGAAGCAAATGTTACCTTGCAAGCCCATTAAAACAGAATACGTTAATTCTGTTACTAAAAGTGTGCATTTCGCAAACGTAAAAATAAAAGTCTTAATGAGCAAAGTGTGTGTAAAGGGAGTCATAGTTATCAAAATCGGGGAGACAAAGCATATAGAATGTCACCATTGCTCGCTTCATATTCTGAATACCATGTTAAAAAAAGTTAATGCCATCAAGTATAATAATAATGCACATAACATATATTCATTAATGATATATATAGACCAAATGTGCTTTATAAACTATATTTATAGAATTACCTCCAGAGTGAGAGATAGAAAAGCAGAAAGAAAACTATTACATTTAGATAACCTAGAACTTTAGATCAAGTTTAAACAGTGACATGTCTAAATCTTCTGCTCTATAGGTAAGTTTTCAATGAAA